TTCATAACCTACAACCCCAATCAATTATAAAGATAAAAACAAACACACTACAACCAAATGGAATACATATCTTTGTGAAAACAAACAAGTGTTTTGGTAAAAACCAATTCGTAGGTAAAAACCCTACCTGAAGTGGTTCTCACATCTTGAAAATAGGCCACTTTCCAATCCACAATCTTAGATAGATAGATAGATACCTAAATTCTTTATTACACACATACAAAACAATACAAAAATAAGTAAACAATAACATGATGTGGGCAAAGGCGGCCTTGTCGCTTTAAGCGATCTCTTCCAGACAACCTTTGCGGTAAAGGATAACTAAACGAAGAGGAAGTATGCCAGCAAGATAAAATAAAGATATGTACATATTTTCTTAAACATATAAAGATTATAAACAAATAAATAACATATACTTACACAAATATATACATACTATATATATAAAACTCAAAGGTGACTGGCTGACATAATGATCTATCAACGCACAGCCCAAACCACTGGACGGATCGGGCTGAAATTTGGCATGCAGGTAGATGTTATGACGAAGGCATCCGCTAAGAAAGGATTTAAATCAATTCTACACCCAAGGGGATAAAATGGGGAATGAAAGTTTGTATGAAACTTTGTCAATTTTAAACCAATCGGGCTGAGACTTTGCATGCAGGTATAAGAAGAATCATAGATGAATGTCATTGTGTATAATACAAGCCTGAGAACAAAAGCTGTAGTCTTACACTTCAGCTCTACACCGAAGCGAAGCGAGGGCGGGCCGCTAGTATTATGCATAAATTGAGAAAAGCTTGATTAAACCTTTGTTACCAAAATGAGTTGAGAATGTGCACCCACAAAAGAACAATTTTAACTGCATTTTAATGTTATCAAGAATGAGAAATAGCTTTTATTTTTAGCGCTTAAACAGTGTACTGATTGTTAATTAGGGAGCTCGCTAACAACATTGATTGTTAATTTGTTTGTAACCTGATTAAATGTACCTAGCAGTCGTCAAATCAAAGCATGACAATTAGTAATTATCTCTAGATTATGAGTACATTGCAAATACAGTTTCGATGTAAGATCTCGAGAAAAAAAAATTTTTAGTAGATATTTTGTCTCTTCAAATCTCAGCACGACGATGTGAAATGTTAGAAACAAATCTAATGTGTGTGTGATTCTGAAACGATTTCGATATCTCCATATGATAATATGATGATACAATCACACAATGATAAATTCTCGATAAGAATATGCATTTTAAAATGACTTGATTAAATTTAAATGTCTATACCTATGTAAGACATTGTTTAAGGAGCTCGATGGCGCAGGTGGTTAGCGCGTTCGGCTGCGATCGTTGAAGTTAAGCAACTTTCGCAGTGCCGGCTGCATCTGCAGTCGTTAGCACCCGCCAATCCGCACTGGGCCCGCGTGGTGGTTCATGGCCCAATCTCCCTATTTCATCCATAGCCCTAGCAGTAGGGACATTAATAGGCTGATGGCGATGATGATGAAGACATTTTTTATAAATACACTAGCGGACCCGACAGACGTTGTCCTGTCTACACATCTTTAATTTGAAAATTTCAAACTTTTTTTAATAAGCTAAAACATTCTGGACCATTTTGATGAAAATTACCATTCTCAGATCCCCTTGAACACACACAAAAAATTTCATCAAAATCGGTCCAGTCGTTTAAGAGAAGTTCAGTGACATACACACTCACAGAAGAATTATATATATAAAGATTTGACACTGCGATGGTAGCGCCGTCTGTCGGATCCAATGTAAAACATTCTAAAATCAACAACTACTAATAAATTAAAAATTAATTAAAAAACATTGTCCAGCGGACAAAATTGTGAATCTAAACCATTCTCAGATCCCCTTGAACACACACAAAAAATTTCATCAAAATCGGTCCAGTCGTTTAAGAGAAGTTCAGTGACATACACACTCACAGAAGAATTATATATATAAAGATATCGTGTATGATTTATTAAGTATCTTATGATATAGCATTCATTTGTTTGCTGCAAACGGGTCCTTGATTTTGTATGCAATCGATCGATTTGGCGGGTAAAAGCAAGCAACACTGATATTGAGTCTGTGGTAAAGGTTTTCCAGGTTCGACCAACAAAAACTTTTTCTAAGTATCGAAACTAGACGACAAATAATTACATACTATACATGTCCTCATTTGTAGATTTGGTTTTGTATTGAGGAAAACATTTAAATGATCATTAAAAAAGATATTAAATGATAGCCCAAAAAATACAACATAAAACCTAAATAGCAATTATAGTTATAATTGGTATTTTTTAAGAATGTAACTGCTAGATGTTTAAATCTAAAGAAAAAAAAAATGGGTTACGGTAACCCAGCGCCGTCTCTTCGACGGCGCTGCCTTGCAGCTAAAGAAAGGCTAGAGGAAATTCGACACGGCCGTGAGGGCCGTAGCATATTTTTTTTTTTTTTTTTTTTTTTTATAATTAGCTTAATGGCATTCGTCCGGATAGCGAAGGGTGCGGGTGCGAGTCTCGTCTGCTGCCTGGTCCGCGTGGATTTTTTTTAATAAAACCTATTTTTTTGAAGATCATTTAAATATGCCTTTTTCTTGGTTTTATATATATCAACAAATAAAGTTAAGGGTATGGAGAAATATGTACTTGTTATTGTTTCATGGCCAAAGCCAGGCGGCTTTAACAAAGAACGACAGATTAAGTAAAAGGATGTTAGAGTCTGTGCGGCAAGAGAATGGGCGTGGCGAAAAACGGTACCAACGTTAAGATTGTTAAGTTTATTTGTCAAAGTCAATCTGTAAAACGTCAAAGTTTTGTATTAATACGGATTTGTCTGTTGTTGTGATTTATTGCGGTTTTTTGTATTTAATCATGTCTAAAAGGGGTAAAACCTTACAAATACGGTAGAAAGGCGCTACAGCGCCCTCCAATCTAAATCCCATTTGTAATGGGTTTTTCCCGGCTACGGATAATTTGAAACAGTCGGCTAGAATTTGAGAAGTTAATAGGGAGCGGGTTTTGTTAAGACCGTGCCTGGAGTACTGTGTGCAAAACTTATTTAAGAGGCGCCATGCACACAGTAGCAAACGATTTCAGATGGAATAAAAATGTCCACACATTAAATGTTCACATCCATTTATTCAATTGTCACATATTTAATGCAGTTTTACATAACCAAGAATGTTAATTTAAATTCAGCATATAAGTTAAATTTCTACCCTTAAATGAGCCTACAAAATGGGTTAATATTACCCGGTTAATCAGTCTGAGTTGTCCATGCGGTATCCAATCATCAACGGGCGGTCTGGTCACACGTGTCACATCCCCTGGATGATGGTATTCGTAAGGCAATGGGCAACTTCCACACCCCGGGTACACAGGCAATAGTCCTGGCTGGAGTCCACGTGTTTAGGTCCTCGTGGCTCGAAGCATCTTTAGGTTGCTGAGATTGTGGCTTTTAGGTCATCGCGGAGTGAACATTTAAAATAAAAAAATAAAAGAGCCTAAGCTAGGCTTAACCTAAAGAACCCTGAAACAAAAGAACCTTGTCAAGCGCACGAAATACTAAAGCAGAATACGAGTTCCCTCGCCTGAAGTTTCAACTTACCATGTGGTTATCATGGGTTCAAATTTTATGCCCATTCTGTTGATGGGAGTTGTGGCATATTATAATGCTCTGCCGGAGCGAAGTGCAACCAAAAAAAACTTATTTTCTGTAGAAAATTCCCTCACATCCTTCCTGATCTGAGGCTTGTCGTGGAAAAGAAAGATGATTTTTCGTGCGGTGACACAACTATTCGCATACCGAATACCTCGAGACATAAGTCATCGGTACGCGGAATCGAATCAATCGATTTAATGAAAAAATACCATTACAAACTAAATGTTAATTGTAGAATTAACATTTTTCCACAAGGAGCGAAAAGAATATATTCACTTTATTTTTAGGGATGAATTCCCTGAAAGAAACTATCAAAACTGCAAATTATATACTAATCGATCAGCTATCGATACCAATTAATACGATCTACAGATTCCGAACTAACAAACATGTCATCCCTATTACATCACAGATGCAAAAACCATTGTTCCCTTCATATAACGCTGGCGAAAGTCAAGACTACTCTGTATTATACAGCCTAAACAATTGATAAATTTATTATTTTTATATTAGTATCGAATAATTGGTTGGCTGTATTAATTTTATGATCAATTTAATGTTAAACAAAGATTACAAGTCAAAGAAATGAAATTTATTCATAATTTAATAATCATGGACATGCGTTGCGATTCTGTAACTATTTATATGAAGGAAAGTTTAAAGTTCGGATTTCTGAACGCAATTTAAAGTGACATTGGGGTTGACATTTGAGGTTATCAACCCTTCTGTTTATTATTGTTTACCAATGATTTGATTTTACACTCAAATTAGCTCATTGATACAAAAAAAAAGTGTTACAGTATCGTTTTAGGTGGAAAAGAATTATTTTATTTTAAAATTTAAAATTTTAAAATAAAATAATTCGAGAAAATTGTACCTCGATCCTGAACAAAAGTGAAAGAGAAAGCAAAATTATTTCTTTGGACTAACTGCCCTAGAACAAAACTAATTCTATGTAGCATTCAGAGAAGATACTATGTAAGATATCCTTACTTACGTTTAAAGTGAATATTGAAAACCTATGTTGGCCTACAATTGCCTAATGTATTGTTTACAAATAAACTATTGAAACTTAAATTAATTGTGCTTATTTTGTTTAAATGACACTTTATGAAGTAACTTTGGAGTTAACTATTAACTTAAGGTATAATCAAAGTTAATACAACTCATATAACTTTAAATACCTAGGTACTAATATCCTAAGTTTATAAATATTCAATATTCCTAATGTACTTGAAGCACCAGTCTTCAAATATTAAGATTATATTATATTGCTATGCAATACCCTATAATAATATGAAACTAAGTTTTATATTGTATACAAGGTGAGATTACTAAACTAAATGCAAGTTCAGATCTTATTTGATAAGTATTATTTTAATTAACTAAATAATTTATTTAAAGGATACACTAAACTCACTATCCTATAGTGTGGAGAGAGTGTGTAAATATTAAAGTTTACTCATTAAACAGATAATAATCTATCATTTCCTTTACTAGGGAAAAAGTAATAAAGTAACACTAAAGAGTGCTTTACACTTATGAGTGCATTTGCATTACAACTATACAGTTGCTGTAGGAACACATTAACTATAGTGTACACTACCTATGCTACTACAAAAGCTTTTTGCTAGCCGTCGAAGACGCCTTTGCCATGGGCAGACTACGTGCTTGACGTTCACGCCCTACTAGGGAACGTGGAAAATGGAATTTGAAATAAATTGGAAATGGAATGGAAGTGGAAATAAAAAGGTTGACTACTAGTCATTTACCTGTGGGCTATGCCAAGATCAGGCCCAACAAAAAGGGAAATACTAACTATAAATATCAAAGTTACCTTTTTAAACTTTTTCCTACAACCTATTGTAGTTATATTTATAATTCTTAATAACTTAAATTCGAGATGTATTGTAACCAACAGTCATTGAATACAGATTTACCTAATCTATTTGAGAGAACATATTGTCACTCAGTTAATACCTATACCTATGTATACTCTAACTAAATTAAGTAAAAATATAAGACAACATATTGTTTTCCTTTATTAGGGATAACTTAATTATGGCGACTATGGTGTGTTATACATAAACCTGTATATTTTAGGTTATGCAGTGGTGGAAAGAACACATGAAATGGAATGTCCCCACCTACATATATGAATATAACACACTTACACCAGACAGTTACTAGGTAACTGAATCACCGGGTTGCACTAAATTACTTATGTGCCCCTGGTCAATGTTTTCACCTGATGGTGATTTCAAAGTAGATATTAAAGAAGGGTGCCCATCAGAAACTACACTTTTTTCATACTTGGGAACTAGTTGGGAAGTGAAATGTTTTACAGCATTACATTGAGGAAAACACTTTTTGTAAACTAGTTGCCCTACTCGAAGAAGGTCAGCCTTAGACTTACGCTTATTAAAATAATGTGTATTTCTATTTTGGGACTTTTTACTTTTGTCCTTACTAGGCAAACTAAATATTTTAGGGCTTTTAAAGCCACTATTCATTTGAGAATTAGTCATTGAATTTATTTTTATTATTGGCTCATTAGACAGGGCAGGTCCTTTACCTTTCCTGTTGATAGCCTCAAAATTAGAAACAAATTTATTGGAATGTTTATTAAGTTTAATATTTGGTTTTGGCGGATTACATTTGGGACAGTTCAAAATGCGAACGCCACTTTTACCACACTTAAAACAAACTACTTTCCTAGACTTTTGACATTCACTAGTGTCGTGATTTTTCAAACCACATCTAAAGCAATTTAATTTAATGTTTTTATTTGTAATTGTTTTCAAAGAATTTATTTTATGGTTATTATTTCCATTTTGATTTTTAAATTTTGATACATTGGTTTTTAAATTTAAATAGTTAAAATCAGGTGCAAATGAGTCAGTTTTCAATACTGGTTCATGAAATTGACTAGCTTTGGCCTTAGCCAGTTCAAGTTTCTTGCATAAAAATTTCAATTGCATTATAGAAGTTATGTCATGCAGAGCTAATGCCATAATATATTCAGGCCGGATATTTCTCAAGATAATATCAAGTTGTTCGTCCTCAGGGACATGTTTCTTTAAACGAGAAAACATGCCTATGATGACGGACAAAAACATAACAATCGATTCAAATTTTGCTTGGGTCCGCTGCCGTATCTCACACAACAGCAGATAGTCCAAGTCAGGAATATCAAAATCTTCGTCTAGTAATTTAATTACTTCAGAATAGCACTGAAATTTGGATTTATTGGCCCTGAACCAATACAAAGCAGGACCTTCCAATATATCCGGAAAACTATCAAAGATCACATCTTTGGGAACCTTACGAGCAACCCTAAGTTCCTCTAATCGAGTTAAGAATACACGGACACAAGAATCGCCGCGATACTTTAAATTGAAAGAATTCAAATTATAGACCTTCGGAGAGAGCTGCTGAACAACCTGAACAGTTTCAACAACTTCCTTCTCGGGTGTAGAGAAAGATTCCCCCGTTTCCTCGGGTTCATCACTATCACTTTCCAGATGCATGAGAATGCAAATAAGAGAAGATTTTAGTTTTGCAATTCCATCCTCTGGATTGCTTATCCTCGAAAGACGACATAGTAAATAATTGCACCGAGCTACTAACCGCTTAACCATGCGCTCACTGGATGTTAAATCCTTACTGCTTGCCTCAATCTCAGCAACCTTGGGAGTACATATGGCTACCTCAGACGACTGGTCGATGGTGAAATTGTCCATTGCCTTCACACTACCTCGTCGGGCCAATTTGCAGGTGTGACGCAGGAGTTTTCGCAGATCGTCCGTTGATGAGGTTGTTTCCGCAGGTAAGTGCCTTATAGACAGCTCATGTAACAGTTCGTCCTTATGTAGGTACTCAACTGGACAACCAACTGTAATGAAATCCATGTTGTATGATTATACAAGTTTCACAACAAAAAAAAAACTTAAATTCTAAAGCTAAACAATAGTCTTTAGTAGTATGATATTATACAGTATATAACTAAGTACAGTTAATACACTTAAATCAGGTAGGCTAACCTTTAATGGAGGTACCTAAACAAAAAAATATTTTCTCCGAGAGACAACGGAGACAAAATGGAAAGAATTCCAATATTAGGTAGGCTAGACCTAAATAGGTGCCTAAAGAATATATTTAAGGTAAGTTTATGAGCTTCCTTTATGAAAAAGTAAGTTATACAAAAAAATAATTTAAGTTACCCACTAAAGAAAAAAAAAAATTTAATATTCAATTTTATTTCATCTGAAATCTCCAGGCCAAACGTTGGGTACGACACTGTAATGGGTTTTTCCCGGCTACGGATAATTTGAAACAGTCGGCTAGAATTTGAGAAGTTAATAGGGAGCGGGTTTTGTTAAGACCGTGCCTGGAGTACTGTGTGCAAAACTTATTTAAGAGGCGCCATGCACACAGTAGCAAACGATTTCAGATGGAATAAAAATGTCCACACATTAAATGTTCACATCCATTTATTCAATTGTCACATATTTAATGCAGTTTTACATAACCAAGAATGTTAATTTAAATTCAGCATATAAGTTAAATTTCTACCCTTAAATGAGCCTACAAAATGGGTTAATATTACCCGGTTAATCAGTCTGAGTTGTCCATGCGGTATCCAATCATCAACGGGCGGTCTGGTCACACGTGTCACATCCCCTGGATGATGGTATTCGTAAGGCAATGGGCAACTTCCACACCCCGGGTACACAGGCAATAGTCCTGGCTGGAGTCCACGTGTTTAGGTCCTCGTGGCTCGAAGCATCTTTAGGTTGCTGAGATTGTGGCTTTTAGGTCATCGCGGAGTGAACATTTAAAATAAAAAAATAAAAGAGCCTAAGCTAGGCTTAACCTAAAGAACCCTGAAACAAAAGAACCTTGTCAAGCGCACGAAATACTAAAGCAGAATACGAGTTCCCTCGCCTGAAGTTTCAACTTACCATGTGGTTATCATGGGTTCAAATTTTATGCCCATTCTGTTGATGGGAGTTGTGGCATATTATAATGCTCTGCCGGAGCGAAGTGCAACCAAAAAAAACTTATTTTCTGTAGAAAATTCCCTCACATCCTTCCTGATCTGAGGCTTGTCGTGGAAAAGAAAGATGATTTTTCGTGCGGTGACACAACTATTCGCATACCGAATACCTCGAGACATAAGTCATCGGTACGCGGAATCGAATCAATCGATTTAATGAAAAAATACCATTACAAACTAAATGTTAATTGTAGAATTAACATTTTTCCACAAGGAGCGAAAAGAATATATTCACTTTATTTTTAGGGATGAATTCCCTGAAAGAAACTATCAAAACTGCAAATTATATACTAATCGATCAGCTATCGATACCAATTAATACGATCTACAGATTCCGAACTAACAAACATGTCATCCCTATTACATCACAGATGCAAAAACCATTGTTCCCTTCATATAACGCTGGCGAAAGTCAAGACTACTCTGTATTATACAGCCTAAACAATTGATAAATTTATTATTTTTATATTAGTATCGAATAATTGGTTGGCTGTATTAATTTTATGATCAATTTAATGTTAAACAAAGATTACAAGTCAAAGAAATGAAATTTATTCATAATTTAATAATCATGGACATGCGTTGCGATTCTGTAACTATTTATATGAAGGAAAGTTTAAAGTTCGGATTTCTGAACGCAATTTAAAGTGACATTGGGGTTGACATTTGAGGTTATCAACCCTTCTGTTTATTATTGTTTACCAATGATTTGATTTTACACTCAAATTAGCTCATTGATACAAAAAAAAAGTGTTACACATTCTCTTTCCGCACAGACTCTATTCAAATTGTAATAAAAAGAGAGTACTAAATGAGTTTATATTCTGGTGTTGACTTAAAACAGAAATTTCACATAAATTTGAGTAACCAGAAAATAAACCAAATCGGCCTTACTGCTAAACGTAGACAAAAGTTGAACTGAACTGAAACTGATGCTGTCACTTTGGTTTGCTAGAAAAGACAAAGACGACTGGTTTAAGCCAAGACTAATACCCGCCATATAGCTCAGCCGTTTGTAGAGAGGTCAGAAAACGCAGTCGCCAAGCCCAGCGACGCGGATATGCCGTTTCGCTCGCGCTACGTTTAAAAGTAAAGTTTTATCTCGCTCGCTCGATTGAAGGTTTATTTACAGAAGTGTGCGTGCGTGAGAGTTGCTTATGTAGTTGAGTTCCTTCCCTTTTTGTATTAATCTAATACCGGCCATACACACTACGAGAAATCGTTGCGATCAGACTGTACAGTTCGAACGGTACAGTTTATACGATTTCGTTTAGTATAGGAAACTGTGCAGTTTTATAACATACACGCTACGATTTATCGGTACCGTTCGGACTGTACAGTCTAATCGTAACGATTTATCGTAGTGTGTATGGCGGGTATAACTTTAGACCGCGTTTTGTAGTAAGGGGGCACATGTCTGTTTATTCGCATCAACAACTGTCTCAGCTTATTTAAAAACCTATACTTTTACTAACTATTAAGTGCAATAAATAAATTTTTCTAACACTCACCAATTAGACTAGCCGCAAAGTAAGCACTATAAGGCTTGTGTTATGGGTTACTAGGGTAACGGATAGAATACATATACAGTGCTTAAGAGTCGTATAGTATCAAAGGCGGCAAAGTAGGGCGAACCAAATATTTGGCAAATCAAAAAAAACTGTTTAGTCTCGTCTTTAAGGGAGGATAAAATATTGACTTTTCACTACGATTTGTAGTTATGATGAATGTCAATTATAAAAATCCTCCTTTAAAGAGGAGACTAAACAGTTTTTTTTGATTTGCCAAATATTTGGTTCGCCCTACTTTGCCGCCTTTGATACTATACGACTCATATATAAGTATCTTATATATAAAATTCTCGTGTCACAATGTTAGTTATCATACTATTCCGAAACGGCCTGACCGATTTTTATGAAATTTTATATGCATATTCCGTGGGTCTGAGAATCGGTTACTATCTATTTTTCATATCCCTAAGTGGTAATGGTTTTCCACCTGTAACGTTATGTTCTGAAACCTACAATGCGCCTTCGCGCCAGAATTCAAACTATTGGGTATTGTAATGTAGTGTTCTCATATTGGTTAGGCGGAATGTTAACCCAGGAAATTGTTAGAACACTACGTTACACACCCCTATTAAAAAAATACAACTCAAAATTTTCTCTTCTACCACCTGTCCTATTTTTATGGCGGTACGAAGTTCGCCGGGTCAGCTAGTATTTATATAGAAATACATATTAAACATCCATGATTGGAGTACAACTACTCGTATTCATCACACAAACATCTGCCCCCACCGGGATTCGAACCCGGGACCTCTCGAGTCGGCGACACCATGAAACCCAGCGTACAAACCACTCGACCACAGAGGTCGTCAAATTATATGTAGACTAGCAAACCAGTGAACAAAATGTTCACCAAAACCTGATTAAAAAAAAAATGTATGTAATTAATTGAGAACTTCGGAGATTTTGTGTGGTTTCGTTTGAAATTCGTGATTTCTCGAAAACCGGAAGTGCTACGTTACTCAAATCCTGTTTGTAGTCTTATCAGACTATTCTTAACTTATAACTTAAATATTCTCTTTATCTATCTCTTACGGTTTGGCCGCTGAAACAGCACCACAGACAGACAGACGGACGGACTTGTCTAATAGATAAGAGATACTCCAAATTGAAATTCAACTATTTCGTCAGTGCTCTGTCGTATTTCACACTGCCGGTTTCCACACCATATTTTCAGTTCGGCCATTCATAAAGGTATATTGTTCCAGTTGTATTGAAACCACAATCGTTTAGTGTGTTTGGCATATCCATTGTGTTTATTTGGAATTTGTCAGACTGTCAGACTTATTGTTAATCTGACTTACTATTGATGGAGGAGAAAAAAATGAAAATAATATTAAACGCTATAATAGTTTACGGAGTTGCGTGTAAATACTACGAGTTGCGTGTAAGTTGTACTAAACTTTAATCGTTCATTATTATTATTATTTTGCCTAAACGGTAACACACGTCATTCCTAAACTTTGTTAAACCAGTTTTTTATATATGTTTTTTTTTATTTTATAGTCATATTTTTTATATTATTTGCATTTTTTTTTGTTCGTAATGGAAAGTGACTTTATGAGTTACCTCATATTGAAGTCGTTTTTCAATTTGACGATTCTGTATATAATACAGGGAGAAAAAACAGCCCTTGCTGAGTTTCTTGCCGGTTCTTCTCAGTACAAGGTCTCCCGCCGTAGATTTGCGAACCGATGGCGTAGCTTTTCGACATTCACAAATGCCTAGACTGAATAAACGATATTGAATTTTGTTTTTTTTTTGTATTTTGAATATTGTCGTTTTAGCTAGGGAGCTGGTGGCAATTTAGGTATATGATTTGATCGCGTTGATACGAAGACGTAATGCGGTCTAATGCATTTTTTAAATCATTTTTTCAACAATACAGATTTATTAATGCGCTATCATCAGAGGAGGATCATCTGAGAACTTAAGCATCGTTGAACTTAAGCAACTTTCTAAGTGGTCGGTCATTGGATGGGTGACCAAAAATTACTATTTTGAGCTCCTCCGTGCTTCGGAAGGCACGTTAAGCCGTTGGTACTTGCTGCATCTGCAGTCGTTAGCACCCACCAATGCGCACTGGGCCCGCGTGGTGGGTCATGGCCCTATCTCCCTATTCCATCCATATTGAAGGCCTGTACCCCAGCAGTGGGGATATTAATAGGCTGATGATGATGATGATGGCAGAAGTTTTTTTTTATCTCTTATAATATAATTTCTATAATTATTCTAGTCTGCCTGCCGATGAAGTAACTTATTTCTTTAATATCATAATAATTAGTAAAAAATAGTACTCTTTAACACTTCAGGAAAAACTTCTGCCACTAGCATTTTTTTTATATTCATTACAATGTATTAAGACTATCGTCAGAATTGATCATATCGTTTATGACAAAAATAAATATTCGCAAGCTCCTTTTTGATATTGCAGCAATGAGGGCTACCGTTTTCTGCCTCACCAGATGGCGCCACTGTTGAGTGAGGTCCTAAATTGTAACTTTTAAAGTTTATTAATACGCACATGAAATCAAAGGTAAAGGAAAAAATACGATCTAAATGTATTAGATCGTATTTTAACACAAAAGAACCATATCCTAAACATAATAGGCCATGCCACAGTGACGCGCAGTTCCGTTTTATTCGGAAAAAATGGGAACATAATCATTTTTCTAAGCTCAAATTTTTAATAACTGACATTCATTGCCACATAATTCATATTTGCCATAATTAAGCCGAACCAACAAGCAATAACATTTGACATTTCGGAGACCTCACGCTACACTAGCGCCTCTAGCGGCGGATTCATACGCGATAGCCCTCATTAATGAATGACAGAAATTGTTTTAAATGATTTTTTTACATAGTACTTTAATATTATCGACGACTGTCACAGACGATGAAATCATATAAAATTTACTGCTCCGTAGCTATTTCGCAATCCGCCTCAGTAGTAATACAGATAGAATTATAAATAATCTTCTTTTCTTATCAATCATACTCCTACTATTATTATAAGTGTGAAAGTTTGTATGTTTGTAACTAAATCACCCAAAAACTACCGAACGTATTTTGAGGATATTTGGTACATCATCATCATCATCAGCCTATTAATGTCCCCACTGCTGGGGCACAGGCCTTCCCTATGGATGGAATAGGGAGATAGGGCCATGATCCACCACGCGGGTCCAGTGCGGATTGGTGGGTGCTAACGACTGCAGATGCAGCCGGGACCAACGGCTTAACGTGCCTTCCGAAACACGGAGGAGCTCGAGATAGTAAATTTTTGGTCACCCATCCAATGACCGACCACTGCGAAAGTTGCTTAACTTCAACGATCGCAGCCGAACGCGCTAACCACTTGCGCTATCGAGCTCCTCGCTATTCCTATTTGGTACGCGAGTAGTTTATGACCTGGATTGAGACAGCACTCTTGAGGGATTTTCAAAAAACTACTGTTCAGGCGGACAAAGTCGCGGGAGGCCGCTAGTTTCATGAATAAAACTCGTTATCTTCTTCGTTAGCAAAATGACAAAGCCCATCAAAGTATTCATTAGTGCCATATCTAACTTGTTTCTAATGGCAATTGTAATAAGACTCAAGATAAGTTTATTGTTTAAATAATTTTAATGATTCTTCAACGTAAAACAAACTTGCCTGTACCCCTTGCACAAACCATTATCAAATTGGAATAGTTTGCAAACCGAAATGTCAATGTCAAATTGTGTATGGAAACTTGAACAGCAGCGCCACAAAGTACGTAACGGGAACTAAAGATCAGTACACATTTGACAATGACATTTCGGACTCGCAAACGATACGACTTCGATATTGGTTCGTGCTAGGGGTACTAAAGTAATTTTCTTGTCGTACCCTATTGAAAAACAACTGTATATTTAAGTATTTACACTACGACATTTATATTTATATATTACAAAGATTTTGTTTTATTCCTTCATGGACAGTACATCATAGTAATTAACAATAGTAGAAATTACTATAATTTATGTTTTTATTTATTTTTAATCATTTAACTGAGAAAAATGTTTAAATCTAAAGAAAAGTTTACTAGAAAAAAGTCCACGCGGACCAGGCAGCGGACGGGACTCCAACCCGCACCCTTCGCAATCCGGCCGAATGCACTGACCATTATGCTACCACGGCCCTATTCGCCGCGTTGAAATTTTCCTAGCCTTACTATAATTTCTCAAAGATCTGTATACGAATTTACTTTAAACCCCCCCCGCCCCCTTGAATGTGAGTTTAGGAAAAGGTTGTTAAGTAGACTAGATTAGATATATTAGCGCAATGAACGCGGTGCAGTGCTTTGCAAGCTCAGTCGCGGCGTCGTCATTGCGCCGGGCGCGGCGTGCGCCACCGCTCGCGGCTCCGACAGTCGCACGTGCGCCGCTGGCGCGGGCCAATGCGTCCTCAATAACAGAAACAGCCGAAAAAATAAACAATAGAAAAAATGAAAACGCTACGCAACCTTCGCAAAACAGACGCGGGCAAAGGCCAAGAAAACATACAGCGTACGCAACCGTTTATTTTTTTCGCTTTGTCAACTTTTACTCGTTGTCAACCTTTGGCATTTGGCCGAACGTCTGCCTATATTATTATATTTATTAATCGAAATTTTTATGGGTTTGTTGGTTTTACGTAAATAATGTTTTCGTTCTATTTCGGCAGGGGTGCTGGAGATGACGGGCACGGATAATACGCGGTTCAGCGGGCACACGCTCGACAAGGCCACCAAGGCGAAGGTCACGCTAGAGAACTTCTACACAAATCTCATTACCCAGCACTATGAGAGGAAACAGAGGTGAGTTCCACTGCCAGAAGGGTCTGGCGACGTGTTACGGTGCAATTTGCGCCAGCGATGTCCGGTAATGAATTTATTGGCCGCTTCGAGGAAAAACGTGTTTTAACATAGAACGTGACCAATCACCGTTGAGAGCTTTTCAGGCGTCTGCTTTTTCGACAATGTATATTTTTATAACGCTGCAATGTGATTTTTACCTAAGTACTTAAAACTGTGAGCTATTATTTGATATTTGTAAAATAATATATTCATGAGGGGACTATCAATCTGTTAATAAAGCACGCATCCTTCTGATTTGATACGATACTATAATGAGCGTTTGCAACGAGAATCATCTACCAAGGCAGAATCAATCAAATGCTCGTCACCTCCCTATAGCTTACATTTAAAAACTATTCGCCCAGTAGGTGACTCTGCTCATGACTCATGAATCACCTTTCGATCATTATCATTAGGCATAATGTTATCTATGGTCATCTAGCTGCACCGTTTTCACAAAAATGCGGATAAAATAATCGACCTTTTACATCAGAGACCGAAGCCGGACATAATTGAGTTGTTACATTTTTTTATGGAAGAGAAAAAAAAATATCGTTCCTCGATTGTCGTTCGAATGTTCCGCTTCGTGTTTAGTCGAGTCGATCGATTTGTATTTTGATAAAGTCTACTTATCTCTGGGCTCACTGATGTAATAGTTTAGTACGAACTTCTCGGTAGTCCTTCGATGACGTCATTTGACACCGAAAAAGTAAACAGTGTTATTTTAACGACAACTGCCTACTTGAACTCTGCTTAATGGGCTAACTTGCTTTTATGAATCTCGATGACTGCTCCTCAAGAATATTTCACGTTTAGCGTGCGTTACTCGCGCGGACTGACAAATGAATTACGTAATCGAGAACACATAATTTTTGTTTGTTTGTAATTTAACGGTTGTATTACTTGGAAAATGTTGCTCTTATTAACACCGTAATATTTATGGCTGAGAGCCAAACAGATGTCAAGGTGCAGAGAAGGCTTACTACAGGTTTACGCTCGGCTAACGTAGGTGTAGAGAGAAATTTGACATTATGAGCTAAGATTTGGGCAGAGGTTCCCAAACGTTTTAACTCACAGAAGTTTATGTAATTTTCACGCATATTCAATGCATTGCTTCTTAATTTGTTAACTGATTCAATTACACATTTAAGCAATTGGTGCCATCTATCACTCATTTTTTTCGCTACTAGGTGTTGTCCGTGGATGACGCAGTATATTGCTGTTACCTATGGTAATATAAATCTTTTAATTTTATCTCACCAACAATCACTTAATTATTTGTCTCTATATTATAGTAAATATGTGTTAGTCTCCACTGCATTGTCATGTCTGTTTTCTTTTTTCTCCTTGCAAAATCTTTTAAATGTTTATTATTAATAAAGCTAGTCTACTCACTCATAAAGGTGATGGCTGAAAATCGGTATTTTGCCTTAAAACTGGCATATGTTTAGCCGAGCCTTGGCCTTTTGCTTTCTGCAGCATACATATGGATATTTCATAGCTGATTTCTTGTATCTTTTTTTTTATTGTATTACTCTGTCTGTAAATGTATATGTATGTTGAAGAAAAAAATAAACGCATTATCTATCTATCTATCTTAAGATGGCTTATAAACCCACAATATCGCCCGATCATGACAGGAGTTTCATCTGTTGCCACCGAAATGACTTATTCAGTCTAGGCTGTTACAAGCACTTGTGAATGTCGGAAAGCCTTCGGGTCGCAAATCTACGGCGAGAGACCTTGTAGTGAGAAGAACCGGCAAGAAACTCAGCAAGGGCTGTGTTTTTCTCCATGTATTTTAGACAGAGTTGTCAAATTGAAAAATGAAGATAGTTCATGTTATTTATAAAAAATGATGACTGTCTACAATTTATGTAATACTGATTTAACACATAGTTTAACTAAGCCGTGTTCCACAGTTTAGACATAAATGGAAATGTTTGATTAAAGTTAAATACTACGATCAATAGTACCCAAAGTAGCAAGAGCAGAGTCATCTCCGCTGATAACACCCGTTCACGAGCATGACGCATGAACCAGCCATTGCTTAGCTGAACCATTGTTTAGAGAACTTCACCCGTCACCGCCGAAGAGATTTTTAAGAGAGCTTGTCTATCCATAACCACATTTGAATACTAAGTTAAATATAACAATATAAGTACATTATAACATACTATAAACAGAACTGTAGGTCACATGCATGTGATTACCTATACACTATTAAGAAAAATAATAAATTGTTCACCTACATTTTGATTGCTGTGTCATACAATTAAAATTGATTCACGTTCAGTGTTCGGCGGGCTGCGCTGAAGTCTCCAAGAAAGGTTGTACTGAATTTAGAATACTATGCAAGTTTTTATGTGTAGAGCGTCTTAAAATATTATCTGCCTATATTGATAGGTAAGCCAAAATTTTAGTTCTTCACTATCGAAACCAGGATTCATGAGGAGCTTGATTGCGCAAGTGGTTAGCGCGTTCGGCTGTGATCGTTGAAGTTAAGCAACTTTCGCAGTGGTCGGTCATTGGATGGGTGACCAAAAATTTACTATCTCGAGCTCCGCCGTGCTTCGGAAGGCACGTTAAGCCGTTGGTCCCGGCTTCATCTGTAGTCGTTAGCACCCGCTAATCCGCACGGCCCACGTGGTGGGTCATGGCCTAATCTCCCTATTCCATCCATAGGGAAGGCCGGCGCCCCAGCAGTGGGGACATTAATAGGCTGATGATGATGATCGAAACCAGATAAAATTTCCTGAACCCCCATTTTTTTTGTTATGCCAACGCGAACGTAGACGTCTATCGACTTTCCCGTGGACCCCTGGGGGTTTACCTGGACTACTTTGGTAATCTCTAAAGCAAGCCATACACGCTAGGGTTTTCTTGACAAGTTTACCTGTACAGTTAAACCGGAGCGTGTATGTCACATAACTGCGCAGGTTTTCACGCCTGTACAGGCAACTCGAAAAGATATGAATTTTTATATTTTCTATCTGTGCAGTTTAACTGTGCAGGTAAAACTGAGCGTGTGTGGCGGTCGTCTGCGCAGGCGTCAGTTGTCCGGTGATGGTTAGTGCGATCGGGGTCATGGTTTAGACTGAAAGTTTGTGCAAGTTTACCACTACGTGTATGGTCTCTACTAAACTCAAGTTTACCTGTGCAGTTAAACTGTACAGGTAAACCTGTCAGGTATATCCTAGCATAGCGTTTCATCGGGGTGGGTTCGTCCGCGGACAAACACCTGGCGGGTGCGCGGCCATTCGGAGACGGGTTCCGCGACCACACCCGCCCTCTCGTTTCATGTATGCTATTATAACTATATATATATTAATACCATTTTGTAATCTTAGCTTTTATACTCTAGCAATCTCGTACAGGCCCTGCCAGAATACCAGCGCTGTTACGGTGGGAATATTCCCGTCCCATTGTAACAGCATTAAGCTGAGGCAGGGTCCTAATTGGCCTTTCTTCTTTCTGCATATTGTTGTTGTTTGTTTGCTTATATAATTTCTTATTGTTACATACTTGTGTGTTAAGGCCAATAAATGATTTTTCTTTCTTCTTTCTTTCTTGGCACGCACTAGGGGGACCGCGGTCCTCATAGTGCGTGTCGGGTGACGGTGCAGGAGTATTGTCTGGTTTTTAGTGGCCCCGTTCAGGGCGTAGGTAGGGCCCTGTTCACATCAGCGAGCTCCAGGGCTGGCTGAAGAGGACAGGGAGGAGTCCCACATACCTTCTTCTCGCTCCCCCAGTGGTTGAGTATATACGAGTGCCAATGGAATTCGGGCAAACTTAGTGCCGTCTTTGACCTATTGGAGGCCCTGGGCATATTAGGATAATGGGGCCCCTATGACCGCCGTTTGGTGATCTAATAGGAACAAGGGACTTTGTATTTGTGATCTGAGGTGGGCCCCTATCGAACGCGGGGCCCTGGGCACTTGCCCAAAGTGCCCACTGGGATAGACGAGTCTGGGTAAACGACTAAGTATAAACGAACGAAGTCGAATCTCTGTCTCCTTAAGAAGGGTTACTATACAGTTAAAGGTTTTATAAATGATAAGGCACCTTGGGCTTAATATAATAGACTAAGTCGTTTTACTTTGCTAATTTGGTTGAAAATTGTTAGTTATACTTAACTTATTGTTGATTAATAATATTAATGTGATGAAATATGACATTAACACATCTTTTTAGTTTTTGATGTCATCTTACAATTGACGACACTGTATGGAACAAAACTGGGAGAAAAAAATAGCCCTTGCTGAGTTTCTTGCCGGTTCTTCTCGGTACAAGGGTCTCCCGCGCCGTAGATTTACGAACCGATGGCGTAGCGTTTGACTTTTACAAGAGCTTGTAACAGCCTAGACTGAATAAATGAGTTTGAGTTTGAATATGCGGGCGTATTCGGATAGTTTTCGTTTTGGTTACTTGACACCGCTTTCCAGCCCGTACTCTAGTGTAGGTAAATATTGCTTCGGGTGCCCAAATTCGAGTAAAGTCTTTCGTGCACCCGGATACTGGCTAGCGACCAAATGTAATTGCGCCATAAGCATTTTGCGAAAGTTTTGTTATTATCATGTAAAATAATTTCCATATAGCAATATGTTAGGTTTATTTGACATGTCAACTATTTTATTCTAGTAGATCGTGGGAACGTAAATTTATAACAACGACATTGCAATTTAAATTATCGCAATGTATGTAATTGTAGAATTTAGGAGATTTTTTAGCGTCATTAGAAATACACAGTCTGTGATGCCGGAATTTCGCATGGCTGTGCGTGTTTGCTATTTGTCGTTATGGCAGCAGGGGGGCCATTGCCTATCGTGATTGCTATGGCTATCGCTATTGCTATTGATCTCGATTTCATTTTATTATTTCTCCGGAGGGTTTCAAATGCCTCGCGCTTTTCTTTTCTTTTGCATTGGTAATAACAATATTAAAGAAAATGATCGTGAGGT